ATCCAGTTCTCCACTGAGAATGAAGTTGGATATATAAATTTATATAAAGATGATCTTTTGTTTTCATGCCAATAAAATAGAAGATAAATTTAACAAAATCTGTGTTAAGATGTGGGCAAAAGTTCCCAGTGTTTTCATTGTTTGTAAATGTTGTAACCTAGGAAAGGTTACTGAATAAAATAATCACATGAAGGTTGGTAATGAACGATAATACTTAGGACAAGAACAACACATATAAGATTCGCCAGCGGCATGTAGAAGTAGTCAACTGCTAGAAGTGAGTCAAGTGAATTCCACAATGAATCTCCAACTGCAGACGCACATACAATATTTACTACTGTATTTATGTGAATGGGGACATACCCATTCACATCCGTAGGTATGCTACCACAGTAATATAGGAATAAACAGGTTCACCTCTCATCCGCTCACACTCCTCCCTGGTATTTTGTAAAAGAGTAGAGGTTTTTTCCTTGTTTTCTGTTTAGGATTGTGCTACCAGTTCCTTCTAAAGTCTATTTCAACTCAATACTTCTAACATCTCCATCTCAAATCTGAGATTTATTTTCCTCAATAGGAGTAGATAGGTTGGCCTATCGCCCGCATCACAATCCTGCCCTGTCTTTTGAACAGATGTAGAGGTTTGTTCCTTCTTCCCTATTTATGATTGGGTTTCCGGTTCCTTATAAAGTCTTCTCATTCTCTTTCACTTCCAGTAGCTCCTTGCATCTTAGTGGCATTATCGCCTTGCGTTGGGTGAACTTATAAAAAATGTCCAATAATAATCTAGCCTTGGCAAGCTATTCTTGAATTATTGACAATAGTCATATGATGTAAAATAAGTTTAAGCAGAGTCTTACTAAATACTTTAGAATTAATAATTACTGGAGCTTCAAGATGGACAATTTAGGACTGCATAATTGTTGTTTTTGTGTTTGTTTTTGATTTATTTTTTTTTTTGTTTTTTTTTAATATTCACTCGAAAAACCATAATCATTAAGAATGTGAAAAAAGTTTTCAAAAAGAGCGTGCCGGAAACTTTTGCACACGTCTTAATAAATATTTTGGAAATCTTCCAAGAGCAGTTCCCATCTCAACACAAAACGAAAAGATTACCTAAAATTATTTCGAGTCAGGGTCATTTTGTCTATCCTTCAAGATGTTAACTTTCCACACTACTTCAAATAAAAAGTTAGGAAGGAAACTCTCATCAATAATAGAAAGGGTGATAACAGACTTGAGAAACCCGCTTTCCAGGAAAATCTTATAAACTTCAACCAAAGGCAGAACTGACTGCTCAGTCAATGAATGCCAAATAGTTCCTTGTAGAGAAATGGCTAATTTTACCATTACCATCTATCTACCTATTTTAGTCTGTTCATATCTATCTATCTATCTAAGTTTTTTTCATAGCTATTCTATCTATCTAGCTATGTTCATATCTAGCTCTGTTCATATCTATCTATATATTTAAGTCTGTTCATATCTAATTGTCTATCAATTGATCTAGCAAATTCTTTTAATATCTAAGTCTGTTCATATCTATCTATCCGAGTCTGTTCATATCTATCTATATATCTGTCTGTTTATATCTATCTATCTATCTATCTATCTATCTATCTATTTATCTATCTATTTCTGTTCATAACTATTTATCTCAGTCTGTACCACATAACAGAAATCACATCACTTGAAGACTTGCAGCAGCAGCAGCAACTAAAGTGAATAGCACATCTAACTCGAAGACAAAATAATGACATAGTCAAGATGCTAACATTCCACACCACTTCAGATTGAAGATTAGGAAGGAAACCTCTGTCAATACTGGAAAGAGCGATAAGAGCTAATGGACTTGAGAAAGCTGTTTTCCTATAAAGTGTTTTAAGAGAAAGATTCAGCCGAAAACAGTACTGACTTTCCAGTTAATGGATGCCAATTTTTCCTTGTAGGTAAACGGCTAATATTGCCGTTACCATTACAATTACCATTACCATTATATTTAACATTACCATTACAATTACCATTATCATTACCATTATCGTTACAATTATCATTACAATTACCATTATAATTAACATTACCCTTATCATTAAAATTACCATTGCCATTATCATCACAATTACCATTACAACTACCATTACCATTATCATTACAATTACCATTGCAATTACTATAACCATTACCATTATCGTTAAAATTACCATTATCATTAACATTATCCTTATCATTACAATTACCATTACAGTTACCATAACCATTACCATTATCATTAGAATTACCATTATCTTACAATTACCATTACAATTACTATTATCCTTATCATTACAATTACCATTACCATTATCGTTGCAATTACCATTATCATTACAATTACCATTATCATTGACATTATCCTTATCCTTACAATTACCATTACAATTATCGTTGCAATTACCATTACCATTACAATTACCATTATCATTAACATTATCCTTATCATTACAATTACATTTACCATTATCGTTACAATTACCATTATCTTACAATTACCATTATCATTAACATTATCCTGATCATTACCATTACCATTATCATTACCATTAACATTTGTATCTAAGAACAATGTTGGTCCCTCTGTCTAACTCTCAGTGCTGATTGAGTTTTTTTTTTTGTTGGCTTTGCAAATTTACGAATGTACTTGCTTGTTCTATTAGAACTTTTTTTATAACTATAAAATTATTTAATTGAATTTACACCCTTGTGCCAATTAATTGAAACAACCACTTCAGTTTCCTTTCTTTCACCATACGATCAGCTTTAAACCCACTGGAGTGACAGAGTGTAATCAATTTCTATTTTTTCCTCAGATTAGGTCATCTGCAGTTCTGTGAAGTAATATGAATCTATTTTCGGGGTGTATGATGAAATTTGTTTGGCCTTGAAAAATATTGCGTCATCCGTGATTGAATTAGATTTTCATCAAGCCCAGACACTATTGTTTCGACTGTCGATTAGTTATCCTATGGCCATTGTCAGCGATGGACATTTCTCCATGGAGGCCTACGAAAATTGTAACACTGCACGAATACACTGGCAAGCCTTACCAGTGAGTAAATCAAAGTACTATAGACTGATCCGGAAACTCTCCTGATTTTAATCCAATCGAGAATCTGTGGTCAATCTGCAAGGAAAGACTTCGTGGAATGGACATACGAAGTACTAACATGTACCCTGGGTCATGTTTCATTGGAAAAATACGAAAAAAAATGAAATAATAACGGAATTATTCGTTTTATTTCAATTAATTTCCGCAAGGGTGTATATCAGTTGTTTTGTAATAAGTTCAAATAAAACTCCAGAAAATGACCTTAATGTCGTCGTCCAGATCTTTTCCTGTACCGTCTTGATTCAGAATGAAACTGGCCATTCGGTGTGCGTTCTTGGTTAACATTTCGACCACTTTGGGGGCAGAGAGCATTGACAGAGAACTTTCTGCTGTTACAAATAAAAATAAAAATATAAGAATAAATAAAATAATAAAAATAAAAGACAAAAATTACTTTTTTTTCATTTAATTCACTAAAACAGTAACAAAAATAAATAATAAAAAGCAAAAAGTAACGTCACAAAAATTAAAAAATAAAACATTTACAGAAAAATAGACAACCAACCACAGTCGGGATCATTCGGTCGTTGTAAATTCCTTGCCTTGGCTACATCATATGTGCTTTTCTAGTTTTTGAATTCATAGTGGTCCTTCTCCTAGACTAGTTGCCAACCAAGGCTACAGAACCCAGATTGATTTAATCATAATTGAAGGTTTTGAATTCCGAGTGGTCTTTCCCTTAGACCAGTTGACACCCAAGTCTGTCCTGCTATTTACCCATAGCTTGGGGAAAAAGAGATTGATCCATACCTTTTCCCAAGTTAACAGCACCTGGTATTCCCAACGAAGGGCCAGCACAGCCAAGCAACTATACAACAGTGAAAGTTTGATAGTAAATTTTAAAAAAATGTTTTCTTAACAGAAGTAACGTTAAGCAATGACCATAATGATGATGACCATGATGATGATGATGGCGATGATGACGACAATGATGAGGAACATGATGACGATGATGATGATGACGACGATGACGATGACGATGATGATGATGATAGGTCAACTTCAGTCGCGATCATCAAGTCAATGTGTGCTACACGATCCTTTCCTTAGCTTCATAAAATGCGCTTCTCCAGGGCTACATACAGTCTTCTGAATTCAAAATCATCTTTCTCCTAGACTGGCGGCCAACCAAGACTAGAGAGCTGAATCGGTTCTACTATTTGACTCATAGCTGCGGGGAGAAGAGCTGGGTTCATATCTTTTTCTAGAGCATTTGCGTATCAATGAATGTAACTAACGCGAGCAGAATTTGAACCCGTCCCTTCGATTTCTCAATCCACTCAGTCAACTGTTATCACGCTTTCTGAGAGTTTGCTTCCTAAGCTGTCGTAACCTAAGGAAAGGGTTGCTGAATGAGGAATAACCAAAACGGAGGTTGGAAATAAAATGGTAATTTTTATAACATCAACAAAATACAATACTCGCAAGCGGCGTGCAGTAAGTAAACCACTGCTTGTGGTAGACTACTTAGACAGCTTACTACCCCCACATACAATAGTGTCCAACGTATTTATGAGGATTGGGACATACCCATTAGTGTTCATAGGTATGGTATATAACACATATCTATCTATCTATCTATCTCTCTATCTATCTATCTATCTATCTATCTCCGTTCATATCCATTAGTGTTCATAGGTAAGGTATATAACATAAGCTTTTGGTTTAAGGTTGTGTGGATAGTGAACATCTTGATTATGTTATAATCTTCCAGTTACATATGCTAACTGGTATAACAAATGTTTGGTTACGAAAGGAAAGGAATAACAAGGACTGCGGAGTTGGAGTCACTACTTGCGGGGTCGCTACTTTGCGAAGTGGGAGTCGCTTGCTTGCAGAATCGCTGCTTGCAGAGTCAGTTGCTTGCGGAGTCGCTGTAGTGAGACGGGTTTGCTGAGGTGACGGCATTGGTGCCATGGAAGACTTGTAACTGGGGGGGGGGGAGGGTCGACGTTGAGATGTTATCAATTGTGAGGATTGGTATCTTGAGCATGATGTGCCCAGGCTGAATATTCGGCCGCTGTAGTGTGTTGGCGTTGCCGAGGTGACGGTATTCTCGACAAGGAGGGCTTGCTTGCTTGTAGCTGGGTGATGACGACATTGAGACGATATTCTGGATTATGTGTGTGAAGCGTCGTGTGTTTAATCGAGCCTAGGAGTGGTAACGGTTATTGAGAGAAGTGGTCATGTCGGCAGCACCCTGCGTGTCGGCAGGTGGCCTGCTGGCTTGCAATTGATCGCGGTCGTTATGTGATAACTACTTTTAAGCAAATTTGGCAGTCCCCAGGCGTGAATGTTTGTGATTTTCATTTTCATTACGAGGGCTTGCTTCAGTAACCGGACGTGATGCGCAGAGCCTATGCGTAGAGAACGACTTTTTTTATTTTGTTTTCTGCGTTCATGGCGTTCAGATCCGGCCGGCATACAGAATGAATCAGAAAGATATCTAATTGCAACCTAGTATAACATACCCATTTTATCTGTTGTTGCTGTTGTGAGAAGTTTTCAAGTGATGTGGTTATTGTCATTTTATAATGCCAGTCCCTCGTGTCTGATGAAGAACTGCCATCTTTAAGGACTAAACTGTTCTTTTTTTTTCAATCTAATTTTAATCATTGCTCTTAGAAAACGGTTGTACGTAGCTGATAGTTTAAACCAATGTTTTACAACCTTGAGCCTATAGTTAAACATTCACGACACACTTTAAAAACAAGAATAAAAAATAAGAGTATACTTTTATGATTTATTCGTTAACACAAACAAAATAATTTACTATAATTTGTAATAATTAACATTATTACAAAATTATATTTATTTATTTTTCAGTTTATTATAATTTAACATTTAATTAAATATCTGAACTTGAGTTTGTTTTTTTTGTTTTTTGTTTTTTTAAGAATATCTTTTTAGCACTGACGAATTTTGCAAAGGCCTACTCTTAAAAGTTTATTCTAAGCATTCTAATCGTGATCGATTTTTGTTTTTAATATCGTTTATTGTAGAAAAGCTTGCTTTTTATATTATTTAATATATTATGTATACGTTTATTTATTATAACATATGAGATGATAGCCATAATATACAAATTTCTAAAGAGGGATTGTCCCATCTTATTGACATAAATGTGAGTCATTATAGTTGAACATTAGCTAATTTTTTTTCGTTGAAACAAAGATGAAGGTTGCGACCTTGAATAGGAAGATAACTCAACGGGAGATAGCAAAACAGCTGGGAATTTTCAGAAAAGATGTACATTCAATGAGTTCTTCAAACATCAGTTGAATATTAAGGAATAAAAAAGGTTTGCGATTTCATGTAATTTATAAAAATTTAAACGTTTTGGGAATTTCCTTTTTTTTTTCTAAAAATTTGCTATATTTGTCTAAATCTGTTTTTTACATTTAAAAATCTTCTTTTTTTTTCAGTCCTTTTCAGCTCAAATTTGATGATAAACCTGAAACTGCACATCGGTAGGTACATGAATAAGTCCATAGCCTATAGATGAAGTACTTATTTTTCAATGCAATCTCCTTGTTTGGCAACTCGCTTAAATTATATCGAGCCTGATACAATAAAAATATAAATTCAAAATTCAACTAATACATATAATAGGCTACGGATTTATTGATCCATCATTGAATATAGATTAACTGCAATGTCTGTATGTGGAGCGCGGCAGGGGGCTTTCAACGAGTATGTTGCATATCGAAGTTGGTAGGTTTTCATGTTGGTTTAAATAGCTCTGTATAGAACTATAGTTAGGTCAGTAAAATGTAAGGTCAGCCGGCTTGATAAATGAGTGTTGGTATATGACGACAGTATTCATTTATTTGTTTAAAACACGGACACAATTCCCTATAAGATATTTGCATTCATAAATAATGCTAGTCTTGTTGGGATTTCGCTGTAGATTTGTTGCTGATGATAAAATTGGCTGTTTGGGATTTGGGGGCGTAAATAATTAATTTGATATTTTTAGATTGGAATGATGCATTTCTTTAATAGAATAAGAATGTACTTTATAGAAAAAATATTCCTTTTTAATATCGTCTCCATCTTTGAAAATTTACTTAATATTATATTGGTTGATTAGACAGCTGTATATTTCGTATTGATACCAGTGATGCCTGTTGATCTTGATAGATAGATAGATAGATAGATAGATAGATAGATAGATACGAACAGACTAATATATATATGTGTGTGTGTGTGTGCGTGCGTGTGTATCTGTCTATATGTCTGAGATGAGGTATTATGTACACTATTTACATTATTCGGACTATTGTCGCCAAATTTATTACAGCGTTTCGGCCGTTGTACGCTCCGGCCTTCTTCAGGTGGTTGGAATGCCGAACTGAACCTTTTATTTCACTAACTGTGCCAGTGCCATGTTTAATGGGTGTTATCTCCTGTTAATTTTCCCTCTGAAGGTTCTCCGAGTATTGAACTCACACTCTTATATTATAAACCTAATGTCATCAGCAACCATTTTTACCAGTGCCCATATTGCAATTTTTGCTGTTATCATTTCATGATTTTATCAGATCTAATAATGCAATTTTTGTTGTTATTATCGCTTTTTTCTGACACTCCTTATTACTGGTTCCCATATTATATTTATTTCTATGCTCACCAACAAAAAAAAAAAACGGGGAATAGATCAAGGCATCTGGAGATGTCGATTGACATTTGAATAGTTGAAGAATATAGTTATCAGGGAAGCAAGTAAAAGTTAGGGAGTTCCGCAGACGAGAAGTTCGAGACATGAACTTATTGGAGTAGAAGAGATGGCTTCATTTAACCGTTTCGACAGTGAAAGGGTGGGACTGAGATGCCAACCTAGTGGCACGTTTAAATTCATGCAGTCTGGGAACTAGCGAAAGTAGCTCGTCGGGGCAGTTACCGTGAAAGTATTTGTAAAAAGACAGAGGGAGGCGACGACACGTCTGTGAGAGAGCGACTGTAAACGAGATGCCAGATCAGGGCCAACCACATTGCATATTCGTCTCTGGATTTTGTCGAGAACCCTAAAAAGAACAGCGGGGTCTCCAGACCATATATGACAGCAATATTACATGCAAGGGCGAATCGTTAATTTATAGATTTGAAGGATGGACACGGACGAGGAAAAATTTCTGGCGCAATATAGAGAACCAACTTTCCTTGCGGTAGATGAAGCTGTTGATTCAATGTAATTGTTCCATCTCAGGTCAGTGGATAGTGTGAGACCAAGCAGGCGCAAAGAGGTGCTCTCGTGGAGTTGAGCATCAGACATTCTAATGGGAGGTAGAGAGCGTTCTCTGTGGTGGGTAAGAGAGAGCAGTTTTGTTTTTAAGGCATTAAAGTTAACCAGCCATTTCTTGCCCCAGTAAACAACCGATTGGAGGTCATTTTCGAAGCCAACGGCCAGGTTAATTTTTGTCAACGATACCAGATTTGCTATTTAGACAGAAGTAAATAGTAGTGTCGTCTGCACAGATGCCCACTTCGGAACTGATGACATTGTGAGGATCGTTAATGAATATAAAGAACAGAGTAGGTCCCAGGATAGACCTTGGGGAACACCTACGTTCGTGAGAAAGGAACTGGAGGAGAATCCGTTTAGGACGACCTTCATTACACGGTTTGACAGAAAATATTGTATTAAGTCAAAAATTAAAATACCATATTCCTGAACCTTACGAAGGATATATATATATATATATATATGTGTGTGTGTGTGTGTGTGTGTGTGTGTGTGTGTGTGTGTGTGTGTGTGTGTGTGTGTGTGTGTGTGTACTCACCCGTCGTATTCGACGTATGAGGGTCAAGTAGTTCAGTTGCTAGGAAACAACATCCCTGACACCAGCACATATGATTTGATAAAAGTGGTGACGGCTTTGTACAGAACCAACCACACTTTTTGAATGGCCGAATACAGAGACCTGGTGCACTACGTGCCACAAGGTCCCCAAACGACACTCCGCAGGTTTTGAATTCAAAGTTGTCTTTCTCCTAGACCAGTTGCCATCCAAGGCTATAGAACCCAGTCTGTCCTGCTATTTAGCCATAGCTGAAGGGTGAAGAGGATTAATACTTTTCCCAAGGTATTAGAACACACACACACACACACATACACATATATATGTATCTATGTAGCTATACACACACACACACACACATACACACACATATATATATATATATATATATATATATATATATATATAAAAAGACTTCAAATCACTAATATTCCATGAATATAATTTATTACATTGAAATCATAATCACGATCCAATGTAGGTCTGATGATTTGGATCGTAATTACGATTCCAATGTAATAAATTATAACCATGGAATATTAGTTTTAAGCTTTTATATTATATTCTTTCTCTGTCCTGGACATTGATTTCTACCTGGATTCTATCCTCTTGGGAATTTATATATATATATATATATATATATATATATATATATATATATATATATATGAGAAGACAGATAAATTATAGGGGGATAGAGGGAGATATATAATCAGACATAGATAGATAGATAGATAGATAGATAGATAGTGAACAGACTGAGATAGTGTTATAGTGGAACACACCTATTCTATAGTTAACTCTCCCACCTATAATAAGTAGGAGTAGTAAGAGTAACGAGGGAGTCAGGGAGTCAGTCAGTCAGTGAGTCGATGTCAGACGACAGTTAGTCGATTACTAAAGTATCAGCGACCACAACTAGATTACTCTGCGTTATACATATTATATCAAGTTCCTAACGTTTTGTACGTCGAACCTATTTTAGGACCGACTTAGTACAAATACAAGCCTCCACTGGGAAATCACTCCACAATAGATAGATAGATAGATAGATAATGAACAGACTGCGATAGATAGATAATGAACAGACTGCGATAGATAGATAGATAGATAGATAGATAGATAGATAGATAGATAGATAGATAGATAGATATAACTCCAAAATGGAGTTAAAAGGATAGTTCGGCACCATGTCTTGGAAATTAACATTCGACATATTTGGCTTTTCCCGAGGTTCGAACTTTTGCCACTATCGTTGATGTGAAATAACCTGCTATTGTCACCACTCCGTATTGCTGGGTGAGTGTGAAGTGGGATGGGGTTTTCGTTTGCACCAAAAATGTAACAAGAAGCGGTCAGTACCCAAGTTAAAAGAGCGATCAGTCAGGAAAACGAACATGTTTCTGTGTATATTGTCACCTATGCCTTTTATACAATACGGTGATAAGTGGTAGAAAAGAAAAGATGTCAGGACCGGACCCGACATATGAACTCTAAAGAAAATCAAATACATACGCTCGCAACTAGGAAAAAGTACAGAACAATTTATGGCAGAAAGAATGTTTGCTTTTGTGCGTGACAAAACGTTCTTTCGAGAACAAGGAAGTTTGGTGTTCCGTGTTGACGAATTGGTTTGTACGGAATAGAAACAATTTTTATTTCTGTCTTTGGAGTTCATACATTCAACCAATGACGTGACATAATCGTATGCGATATAACAAAGAAAGAAAGGCCTGTAACAAGAAAGAAAGAAAGAAAGAAAGAATCTGAAAGGAATAAACACATAAAAGAAAGAAAAAACTGAAAGGAAGAAACAAATAAACATACAAAAGAAAGAAAGAAAGAAAGAAAGAAAGAAAGAAAGAAAGAAAAACCAGATAGGAACAAACAAATAAACAAAAGAAAGAAAGAAAGAATCTGAAAGGAACAAACAAATAAAAGAAAGAAAAAACCTGAAAGGAACAAACAAATAAACATACAAAAGAAAGAAAGAAAGAAAGAAAGAAAGAAAGAAAGAATCGGAAAGCAACAAAGAAGTGAAAGAAAGAAAACAAAACCTGAAAGAGACAAACAAATAAACATACAAAAGAAAGAAAGAAAGAAAAAAAGAAGACAGACCAAATATTTTATCTGGCTAAACGATTTCAAACATAATTTGGAACAAAGAAATCTGTGCGTGTTTTGTAGAAAGAAAATAAAAAGGACGGTTCAAAGAGTGACAGATTTCAAATTGGAATTAATCAAATACACGATCCATGTGACATCGACCGGTGACCTGTGGAAAAGCATGTCAGTCGTGTAGGTTATTTGCCAGGCTAAGAAGTTCGCTCCTTACTGAGTGACTGCCCCACTCTGGCATGTAACACCTGAACAGACATTTCATTGACCTCCTTCGGCGAAATCTAACATATATGTCGTGATTTCAACCCACACCATTCTTTACAAATAACTTTTTAGAAGACTTGAGGGCCTTAATTACACAGTCACAAACGCCAAAAGGAATCAATTGAGACCAATTTTTAATCTAAATTCCTCTAAAGCAGAATTCATGTTTGTTCATTGATATGATTAACCGTCACCACGAAGAGGTGTCATGCACATTATAGTCGTGAAGATAATAACCTTGCTACGATGCAAAGTTTTATTTGAACTGTTAGGAAAGCTTTATTCATTTAGGAAAGATATCAGAATAAGCCAGAATATTTACTGGGACCAAACGGCCTGATAGAAAATGAACTACGTTCACAAGTCCTGTAACCCATTAGTGTACTGTCGCTGTGGGGGGTTCCTGGGCAAGCTATTTCGATGGAGCTCAACCCTCCCAGGCTGGTTTGAATTTAGAGTTTTCCTTCTACTAGGCTGGTTGCTAGACTGGTGGGGGGGGAGAGATGGATTCATACCTTTCCCAAGGGTATTAGCACGTAAGTGAATGTAATGGACTCGACTGGAATTCGAACTCGGCTCTCCAATTCGTCAATACGAATCGCTATCCATTAAGATCACTGTTCCTCCTAAATGCACGTTGAAATGAAGTAAGCAAGCATAGAAAAACAGAAAAAGGTACCAGTTAAGCTTATTGCAAAAGGGTGTTGAAAAAGATATCAGCCCAACGAAAAAGCCCTTCAAAAAAGAAAAAAAATGAATAATTGAATAAAATAGAATGATCGAGCATATTCCAGTAAATGAGAAAAATTTTTGTTTTTTCAAATTCTTTTTTTTTTTATGTATTCACCCATGTTTCCTTTTTATCGCTTTCCGAAGACGTTCTCTGATACGAATGGCGTTTCCTTGTCTATCTCTACAGAAAACTCGGTATAAGAACGTCATTACAATAGTATAAAGGTCAAACAGCATTGGAATTACACGTCTCTAAGAAGCGTAGATTGAAACTTAAATGTGATACATGACTTCGTCTTTTTCCATCTACCGTGACCCTTAAGGACATGGAGGTTCATGACTCTCCACAACTTCTTATCCTTTGTATCTCTAAGTAATTGTCTTTTTATCATCTCGTCCATCCACTCCTCGTTCTGACGTCCATTCACACAAGCTCCTTCCACTGCCTTTCTCTATTCCATTTACCTTCGATATGCCATGTAAGTGTCATATTCTCTAAACCCACTTTCCTCATTATGTGTCCAAGAAATTTCAGTTGAACATTGTTGCATTTCATCGCATGATAGATTTAAGGAACGGATAATTAGAATGAACTTCTTTTTCTATGTGTCGTGTAACTTCAGGGCGTGGCCGATTATGGCTATACCCAGCATTGTAGCTCTTAGCAACGTTTATTCCTTTGCTATCATTCAACACCTCCCCCCCACCCGTTCTACCATCCGTTCACACAAACTCGTCAGGTAGTTGACCCGCTGCGTTACCCTCTCTCTTTTGCCTTCGATATGTCCCTCTGAGAGACAAATTCTTCAAGTCTTCCTTCCTCATTATTACCAGAGAAATTTCAGTTTTCTCTTTTTGATTATAAATGTTCTTTTTGTTTCCATTTTCCTCAAGACCTATTCGCTTTTTACTACGCGCTCCCCTCAATATGGAATACGTGTTTTCGTTGTAATAATAAGAGGAGGAGGTGGAAGGGGGCGGAGGAGAGAGAGGGGGAAGGAGAGGAAAAATAGAAGAGGTAATAGAAAAACTAAGGAGTGATGAGAATGAGAAACGAGGAGGAAGATGAAAAGAAGTAATCTCAAAACTTTAACCACACAAGAAATATTATTGTTCACTGATGGAAGTTATATAAATTAATTAACATCAAACTAAGCATGAAGATAAAGAAAACGTGAGAAAAACAATTTGTTTCCAAGTCACAATAAAAGATGGAATAACAACACTACGAGGTGTAGGCCTCTAAGTCATGCAATATTCTCTCTCGAAGACACGAATTTTATTCTAGGGGCGGGAAAGCGTTTCCGACACCAGAAAACAATCTATAATTTTAAGGAATACAAAATGAAGAAATTCTAAAATACCAAATATGCCTCATTCGAATAATAAAAGATTATTTGCTTGTCATATTTTTTTCTATTTTTCTTTCCTCCCCCTTCTCCCTCTCCTCCCCTCTTTCTCCCTCCTCCTCCCCTCCTTCTCCTCCTCTTCAACTACCCTTCATCTACTTCCCCCCCCCTCCTCCTCAACTCCCCTCCTCCCTCTCCTTCCCTCCCCTCCTTCCCTCCCTCTCCTCCCCTCCTCCTCCTCAACTCCCTCCTCCCTCTCTTTCCATCCATCCTCCTCCCCCTTCTTCCTCAACTCTCCTCCTCCCTCTCCTCCTTATCCTCCCTCCTCTCCCCTCCTCCCTCTCCTACTCTTGGTATTACAAAGAAAACGGTGTATATTACCATTAATTACCATCTATATCTAGATTCATTTTTTTTTTCGCTATTTCACATGAAATCTTTCTTTTGCTTCTAGAACACTTTTTTCATTCTTGTTCAATCTTCTCTTCTCTGTCCGTTTCATCTCTCTCTCCCCCACCCCCACACACACGCACTTTCCTTTTGTCTCCCAGAATCTTTATTCTTTTCCTCTTCCTCCTCGTTTCTAATTCTAACATTCCTTACGTCTACTCCCCTCCCGAGATTTCTCCCTTCCTCCCCTTCTTCCTCCTCCTCCTCCTCTACATTTTCAGGTTTTCTTTCTTTCTTTCTCTCTTTCTTGTGTTTGTTTGTTCCTTTCAGGATTTTTCTTTTTCTTTTTCTTTCTTTCTTTCTTTCTTTCTTTCTTTTTCTTTCTTTCTTTCTTTCTTTCTTTCTTTTGTGTGCTGTTTTCTTTTTTCTTTCTTTTGACAGTTTATTTCTTCATTTCTATGTTTGTAATCAACTTTTGGGCAGAAACAGATAAAATACTTCTTTCTTTCTTTCTTTCTTTTCCTTTCTCCTTTTCTTTCCATTCCTCTTGTTTTTCTCCTATTTCTTCTTCTTCTAATAATACTGTTGCTATATTAACACTGTCTTTAGGCATCTCAGCCTGGTGTAATGGTTAACAAGTTTGTTTCGCTAGGTCAATTACTACTGAATAGGAAGTTCGATACTCACTGGGTGCTCCATCCTATTGGCCTTGTGCCACATATAAGCTACACTTATTAAATTATTATTAACCCAATCTTTGTACCTGTGTCTACCTTCGCGAATAATTCATGTGAATATTTTTCTACTCCTTTCACCCCAAGTAAGGTGATAAAGCCACTAAGACGCAAGGGTTTATTGAGTGTGAAAGAAACTGATAAAACATAAGAACAATAAGAAAATAGGAATAAAGGGGACAGAAGATGACGATTGATGTTGCATTTACATTTTTGAAGATCGAAGTTGACAGGAAAGCAACAAGGTTCTACAGGTGAGAAGTGCAATACAGTTAAAGAGAACAATGAACGGAGTTATCATTAGTTACATTCGAAGTATTGCCCTCGTTTCCCCGAGTCCTTCATCACGAAATACACGAACAAACGCTTTAATCCGCTAGGCTATTGTCGCGGACCGACAAGGCCTGAAGAAGGCTAGAGGGTACAATGGCCGAAACCTTGTAATAATAGCAACAAAAGTGAGGACAATAGTTCGTGTGTAAATAATGTAAATAACAATGAAAGGGCACTATTTACATTATTCGGACTATTGTCCTCATTTTTGTCGCCATATTTATTACAACGTTTCGGCCGTTGTACGCTCCGGCCTTCTTCAGGTGGTTGGAATGTCGAACTCAAACCTTTATTTCGCTCACTGCGAAAGTTATCTCCTGTAAATTCCCCTCTCCAAGTTCTCCACTGCCTTAACCGGACACGTGACACAGAGGATAAAAGCGTTAGTTAGATCCACTGACAGGACCCAAAGAGTGTGAGTTCAATACCTGGTTAAGGCAGTGGAGAACTTTCAGAAGGGAATTAACAGGAGATAACTAACATCCATTAGACATGGCCTGTGGAACTAGAACAGTCTACCCCAGTGAGCGAAATAAATTGTTCAGTTCGACATTCTAACCACTTGAAGACGGCCGAAATGTAAATAATGTACATAATACCTAATCTCAGAAATATAGACAGATACTGAAAGGCCAAAACATTGTAATAAATATGGCGACATAAATGAGGACAATAGTCCGAATAATGTAAATAGTGTACATAATATCTCATCTCAGAAATATAGACAGATACTGAAAAGCCGAAACGTTGTAATAAATATGGCGACAAAGATGAGGACAATAGTCCGAATAATGTAAATAGTGTACATAATATCTCATCTCAGAAATATAGACAGATACTGAAAAGCCGAAACGTTGTAATAAATATGGCGACAAAGATGAGGACAATAGTCCGAATAATGTAAATAGTGTACATAATATCTCATCTCAGAAATATAGACAGATACTGAAAGGCCGAAACGTTGTAATAAATATGGCGATTAAGATGAGGACAATAGTCCGAATAATGTAAATAGTGTACATAATACCTCATCTCAGAAATATAGACAGATACTGAAAGGCCGAAACGTTGTAATAAATATGGCGACTAAGATGAGGACAATAGTCCGAATAATGTAAATAGTGTACATAATATCTCATCTCAGAAATATAGACAGATACTGAAAGGCCGAAACGTTGTAATAAATATGGCGACAAAGATGAGGACAATAGTCCGAATAATGTAAATAGTGTACATAATATCTCATCTCAGAAATATAGACAGATACTGAAAAGCCGAAACGTTGTAATAAATATGGCGACAAAGATGAGGACAATAGTCCGAATAATGTAAATAGTGTACATAATGCCTCATCTTAGAAATATAGACAGATACTGAACAATGAATTGCCTGCTGTATACAACCGCATTCTCATATCTTTGATAAAAAATGGCTTGCAGCAAATGAAGCCTGTATGTTATAGCAGTAAATATTTGATGAAGACAAAAATTCACACCTCTTTGGTTGGGTAAAGTTCTTAATTCTGATCCCATTTCTATTTCTGCAGTCTCAGTTGGAAAATGATCGCCAATGTCTGGATGTGGGGTCAGCCACCCTAGGAAAAAACATCAGACAAAAATTATTAATGCTTATTAAATGCACTTTTCGTTTTGTTCTTGGATTATTTTTTTTTAAGATCTTTACTTCAAAGCTCATTTTATTTATCTTCCAATAAAACCGGGACTCAAACTAAACCTTTCCAAAAACAGAATGTAGGATCTGGAAATGAAGCGAAAATAGTAATGGCACCTACCCTAGAGCCATCATAAAAATTCCCCATGTGAAATGAGTAAATACCAACAATTCCAAATACCTCAGTGTATAGATCAGTTATGACAAATTTAGAACAGGCGATAAGGAATTTGAACATAGAATAGGCTGCGCTAGAGATAGTTTCACACAACACCGCAAGTTGCTACACAACCAAAACATTAACCTAAAATAAAAACTCGAATAATATTCTTGTAGGGATACAAATGGCGATTGTCTCCCTTTCGTTGAAATAGTCACAAGGGCCAGTAAGTGACGCCAGGGGGCGAAGTGACGAAGTCCAGTTGCGATGTAGAGCCTGGAGAAGAAGGACGTCCCTAGCCTACAGCGGTTGGACCCACCAAGTTCATATAGAAGCCGTCGTAACTCCAGTTTTCCCCTCGGGAAATATTACAACTTTCTTTTTCTTACACACTGTTTGTTACTGCATATATGGTATAATTTTTCTGTGTGGGACATGTGTATATATGTATATATAATTTTGTGTACGATGTAGCATTATAAATCTCTCTCTGAGAACAAAGTGTGTTTGTCATTTTCCATTCAGCTATTCTGTTGCGTCCGTGAAGTACGGTGTTATTATATCACGGATATAATAATGCTCATAATGGGCGAATGTTTTGGGAGAATAGACCTTTCTTCCATAGCTCTCTTTTATTGTATTCTTAAATGTCCTGGGCAGATTGCGACTTTCATATAAATGTCATGCATGGTGCAAAACCCGTTCAGAAATATCTAAATTGCCTGCTGTATACAACCGCATTCTCATATCTGTGATAAAAATGGCTTCCAGCAAATGAAGCCTGTATGTTATAGCAGGGACTATCTTTCTTCCAAATTTGTGGACTGGCGCTATAAAATCACAAAAGCTGTACCAAAAACAGATACTTCATCACTTGAGAACTTTCAACAATAGCAACAACTAAAATGGATAGCACATGTAACCTGAAGAGAAAATAATGACATAATCAAGACGTTGACATTCCACACTACTTCAAACAAAAGGTTAGGAAGGAAACCTACATCAGTAATCGAAAGAGAAATAGCAGCTACTGGATTTGAGAAATTTATTTTCCTGAAAATGTTTTAAGAGAATGATTTTGTAAATTCCAACCGAAATTAACCCTGGTTGCTAGCTCAATGAACGACGAATGTTTCCTTATAAGGAAACGGCTAATATTACCATTATTATTGACATTTTATATTTGTATGTATCAATATAATGTTCTTTTTTTCTGTCTAGACTCTATGACTCCACTGTATTTTATTATTATTATTATTATTATTATTATTATTATTATTATTATTATTATGATATCAAAATCATTTTCGTTTTCTACGATCTTTACAGGTAACTTATTTCATGAACACATCTAAATACTACGGCTTCCGTATATTATTAATAGTATTATTTTTATATATTATGTTATATCAAAATTATTTTCTTTTTTTACCAATCTTTATCGGTATCTTATTTCATGTACTAATTTGAAGACTATGGCTTCTGTATATTATTATTATATAAATTGGAGTGATTTAAATTGAAATGAGAATCTGACGAAATGGTAAATATATAAGATAATTTTGGAAATTCTTATTTTGACATGTTTCTCTAATCAAACAGCGTCATCGGAAAAGAAGATTTTATTAAAACCAAATATACACTTCTCGTTAATGATGTTTTTTTTTTAAATATTTACCATAAATTGAAGTGCCAAAACATTAGGCAGTCACACATAATAGTGTGTGTCACTTAATGTATAGCACTTAACTGATGTCACAATTATCGAAAGAAATCCCACTGGTGTTCACTGCGATCTCCAACAAAATTACACGGCATTGCAGAATTCCAACCAGCTTCACAACACCCTTTTAATTTTTAGGATCCATACCCTCATGCGATCTCATCCACACACGAACTCGTCCGTCTTTGCCAAACAGTGGGAAGCTTGACTCGTCTAACCAAGCTCCATAGTGTTAGTCTTTCACGATCCAATAGTGATATTCTCTGGTTCCTATTTAGGTACAATAAACAACGTTTGATGCCAATAATAATATATTTACCGTTTTAGGTCGATGCCAACGTAATCCAATTAAATGCAGTGTGTGTTGAACAATGTGCTGACACCTGGATTAAGTCGCACCAGCACTGAATTAGTTTTTTTTTTTATCATTTCATCCGAACCAAGCCCCTAAGACGCAAGAGGTTACTGACTGTTAGAGAATATGAGGAGAGAACAATAAAAGAACAAGAATTAAGAAGACATATGCAATGTTCCACTTTGTTGAGTGAATAAAATCTTTGTCAGTCAATACTGGTACCATTTTTGCATTCCCTGCAGGTTCCATTTCGCTACTGATGGCAGTCCAGATATTTCATATTTCTCATATCTTTGCATTGTTCTCCAAGAAAAAAGAGCAGTTATCACAACGGATTAGCAGACCTCATCTTTCTGATCCCAAATATAATTTAGAGATGAAACAAAATGAAATCTTATGTGTACCAAGGCTTCCACCGCTGCACGACCTCTTTCTATGTGACGTCATCGAGTTGATTTCATT